GGATCCGGCCCGTTTGAAATGAATAAAACTAAAAAAAAAAAGACCGTACCCTTTTATGTAATGATGTTTACTTTGAATTTATATTAGTTCACACAAACACTCCATCCATGCTTTTGTTCCGGCCCTCCGGTCCAGTTTAAGAACCCATTGTGGCCCTCGAGTCAAAAAGTTTGCCCACCCCTGGTCTATAAGCTTTATTGATACTTCGCTTTTACAGTTCACAAGGCCTTCCACGATTTAGTTCAATACAGCTTAAACCGCAACTGTATAAATCTTCATTTTATAATTTCTTGCATAACAATGTTTGATATTTGCGAACAACATTTTTGGAAGCATTAGATTCAGTCCATAGATTCAGAGTTTGTGACAAAATTAACTATGGTAAGTCTGTGCAATGAAGTTTATATGGTGAGTTCTATGTGCATGGCATCCTTTCATGTTGAAAAACAGATGGTAGTGTGCCTAGAAATATATTTTCTTCTGCTTATGTGTTTGAAACTACACACATATAACCAATGACTCTGAAATATCAAGCACGTGGGGAAGCTGGAAGGTAAAGGTCTAAGCTTTGTGAAACACTGTATATATAGATTATATATATATATATATATATATATATATATATATATATATATAATCTATATTTACTTATATTGGCAATTAATATAACAGTAAAATTCACAATACACCTAGAACATACCAGAAAGGCAAGCTTTTCCACTCCTGCTTTAGTGGTATGATCTCATCTAAACATTTTGTTTCAGAAAATCTGCATCAATCTACACAGACCATACACACACAGTGCACAGACTGTGAAAAGGGTTTTGTTTGTTTTTTCAGCTTCATGTTCTCTGCAATTCCCCAAATACAGCAAGACTACCTGCAACAAAGTATAATATACAGCTTTCTCAGATCTTTTTCATTCACCAGTGCCTCGGATAGGAAAAACAAGTATGACCACGGATTCAATCCATACATAGCAGCTCACGATACTTAAGATGAACACGCGGCAGCCAAGAGGTGATTTCTCCTCAGACACTGCATCGCCAAAAATAAAAATCTGTGGCTCTGCAATGTCAAGGCGCCATTCTTCCCTGACCCTCCCCCATGGAATCACATGTATATCCCCTTTAAAAATAAACTCCTTCTGTGAATCACTTCAGGCTTTTTTTCATTCAGCTTTGCGCTTCAATCCAGGGATTTTTGCTTGGATTTCAGCCATAGCATCTTTGACATTCTTATTTGCAAGTGCTACATAATGATCTATCTGCGCCCGATGCCGCTCATAAATAACAGGAACGCTGAAGAGTGAAATCAGAGCCAAAATCAGTAGTGTCAGACCATTGAACAAGGCTCCAACATAGGTAAATACCCACATCAACACTGCAAACTTCAGAGAATCAACTAAATCATCAACTAAGCAGAGGCGTCTGAGTTCCTTTATCGTGCAGTTCACATGTCCAAGAGCAGAATGACTGTATTTCTGAACCAACTCCTCGGATATGGCAACATCAGATTCCAAATATGCCCCGAATGGGTGGCCTTCATCTGATTTCTGGATAGCTTGGATCACACCCTTGTATAGTCTAAAGCTGATAGTCACAGAGAGAAGGGCCAAGGCATGTAAGCCGTTCCGCTCACAATGCTGAATACTGTCAATAAAAGTAGTAGGAACAAGCCGGCACCAAACACCACTCCAGTCTTCTTAATGTCTCTCCAGTACAGGAGGTCGACAACCACGGAGCCAGAGGAGCTCCTGTGCTTGGGCGCCGCTGGCGTGGAGCGGGGCCCAGCGGGGGCCGGAGGCTCGTCGTCCTCGGGGAGCTTGGAGGCTGCGGCAGCAGACGGCAGGGAGAGAGTGAGTGGGGACTGGGGGAGCCAGGAAATTAGCACCCCTCCCCACACCCCTCCCTGAAGGAACGCGGACAGTGAAGACACGGGGTGGCAATGGAGGGGAGAGGACAGCTCCACCTTCACAGCACTCGCCAGCTGACAGTGCCCGGGACCCAGGGAGCACAGGGAGGAATTCCTACAGCAAGTCCCAGGCATTGTCTCTGCCACCCCAGCCCGCCCACCCTGCCTCAGAGCCACTGTCAGCCTGCCTCCGCCTCACCTGCCGCCCGGGTCCTGCTTTCCCTTGCTGGGCTGGGGGCTGAGTTAGAGTCGCCTTGGCTTCCTTGGAAGATGAGCTCCTAAGGCTTTTTTCCTGCAAGAGTTTCTGTAAAGAAACAAAACCACCCATCTCAGGAGCGCTCTGGGGCAGAGGCGAGCAGAGCCGGGCCAGCTCTGAAGTCCGCTCCCAGCTTCATCCTGACCCGCTCCACCGGGGAGAGATGGGCAGTTACCGAAGCTCCCTGTCCCAGCCAGCCAGGGCCACCGTGGCAGAAAACCACACGTCATTTCTCATAGCTCCGGAGGCTGCGAGGCCCAGATCAAGGTGCCGGCCCCACGCCATGACCTCATTCAATCCCAACCCCTCCCCAAAGCGACGTCTCCAAATAGTCTCACTGGAGCTTCCGCATGTGGATACTAGGGGGACACATTTCCATCCCCAACACCCGCTGTGGCTCAGTGTCCTCTTCTGTGCAACTGGGAAGCCCCTCTTCACAGGCCAGGGACCTGGAGGGACATCAAGGGAGAAACAGAGGCACGGCCAGGCCTGGCCAGCTGAGCACCATCATCTCCGGAGCCCTCATCCACAGGGGCAGCCATGCAAACTGCACACACACTGGCTTCCTTCCACCCTCCCTAACCCTGGGTGCCCATGAGCCCCAGTGCCTCTCCCCTCCCTCCAGCCTCACCTGCAGCTCCTCATAGAGCTGGGTGAGTTCTGCCAGCTCTCTCTCTAGCTCCTCAGCCTTGGCCCTCAGCAAGTCCGCCAACTCGGTCCTGGGTCCCTGCTTCAGCTCCTTCCAGTCCTTCAGGAGACTGTCCAAATCCATGCCCAGGAAGAGGCCATTCAATACGGTGTTCCGCAAGAAAGCGCTGCTCCCCATCGCTAGCGGTGTGCCTCTAAACGCCCTTTGCACACTCCTGGTCGTCCGGGTCGAGGCTTCGCCAGTGACCAGGAGACGCTTGGCGGCAGCGGCCAGGCGCGGTTGGGCTCTGGCGACCTGCAAGGCCTGGATGTTCTTCCTGATGCCCTTGAAGGTTTTCCCACAGTTATAGACAGTCCTTCCAGCCTCCACGGCATAGGCCACAGCCTCCTTGACTTTTGGGTCAGGGGCAGACAATTCGCTGCTGACCTGAGCTTGGGCTTTTTTATTGTGACGGTATTCCAAAATGCTGGTCAACACACTGGTGGCCCCAGCAACTGCCCCCAAACCTGAACCAGCAGCTGTAAGCATCAGGCTTCCTCCGGCTGTGACCGGAGCAAGGGCCAACCCCAGGAGGCTCATGGCTCCGGAGGCCACAGCGACCGAGTTGGTCACCAGGCTGGTCTCGGTGAAATCTTTGTGGGTTTTGTCGATGTCGTCTGCGAGGGCACGATACTTTCTGATGGCCATTTCTAGTTCCGCTTTCATTATGGGAAACTCTTTCAAAAATATTCCTTCTTCAGGGGACAGATCTCCATCTTGTTGCTCCACATCTTCACCTGGAGGAATGTCATTGTAGTCCCTGCGGATGAGGGAAATAAAGATTTGGTTTCGCCCTAGCCAGTTTAGCTCAGTGGATAGAGCCTCGAACTGCAGACCAAAGGGTCCGGGTTCGATTCTGGACAAGGACATATACCTTGGTTCCAGGCTCCTCCCTGGCTTGGGCCCTGGTTGGGGCATGTGCAGGAGACAACTAATCGATGTGTTTCTCTCACATCAATATTTCTCTCTGTCTCTCCCTCTCTCTTCCCCTCTCTCTAAAAAAATCAATGGAAAAATATCCCTGGTGAGGATAAAAATAAATAACTAAATAAAGATTTGATTTCAGTGTCCCCGATGGGAAGGCCAGATTCTTAGGCCCAGATGGTTTCCGGAAGCCCCTGCCGCTCCCAATTCTGAACCCTCCCTGCATCTCCCTAACACCCCTGTGACCTCCAGCCTGACCCTGACGTGCGAAGGCCCCAAGCGCTGCTGGGAGCTGCTGGTTCCATGAAGAGAAGAAACACGTGAGAGGGGCGTCCGGAGGGACACAGGGGAGAAGTGCAGGCCAGAGGGCAGGAGAAGGGAGAGCGGTCCTGATGGATATTTGCAACCTTGGTCAGAGAGACTGTGGAAGTGTCACCAGCCAGAGGCAGTGGGCAAATGCTAGGGTCCTGGTCAAGGTCAGGACTAATGGAGCGGGGGGTGGGGGGTGGGGGGTGCGGGCGGTCCATGGAAGGTAGGAGAAAGGATCCCAGGTGTTTGGCGGGAGGTTGAGAGGTCTGTAGAGGCAGAGGCCAGTCAGGGAGGAGGCGCCATGTTGTATGAGGCCCTCGGCTTTGATGACCTTGAGATTGGCGGCTGAGGTGTGACTTTGCCTCTGTCAGGAGTAGCCGAGCAAGAGGCCAAGATAAGCGACCAGCAACATTTTAAACCTTCCCCTTGGCACTTGGCCAGCTTTCCTTGCCCCTCAGGCAGGTGGGATTGGTCCTCCAGGGGAGAGGCCAAGGACCCAGGGGCCATGAATTCTAAAGTCTTGTCATTTTTAAAAAAAATATATTTTATTGATTTTTTTACAGAGAGGAAGGGAGAGGGACAGAGAGTTAGAAACATCGATAAGAGAGAAACATCGATCAGCTGCCTCCTGCACATCTCCTACTGGTGGATGTGCCCGCAACCAAGGTACATGCCCTTGACCGGAACCGAACCTGAGACCCTTGAGTCCACAGGCTGACACGCTATCCACTGAGCCAAGCCGGCTAGGGCTAAAGTCTTGTCTTTAAGGTGCTTGACAGCTAAGGCAAGCTTGGCTTCTCATGTTTATTAATTAAACCAAATGCCTCAAATATGGACATTCGGCCACAGCAAGGCCCACTGACATAGTGTCGAGTGGCAACCTGGTTCTACCAGACACAACGGCGGTTCACCGAATCACTCAGCGAGCATCTCGATTGTCCACGTTGAGCTGGAGCCTGGGGATGCTACACCTGCGGCTAACGGATAACTGGGCTTGAGTTCATGAACGCAGACACACTACAGGGCTTTCCTGGGGTCACGTGAGCCAAAAAGACGGAGTTCCTGCTTCATGGGCCTCCCAAAGGTGAGCCCCCACCCTGCCCCCACCCCCTCGGGACAATGTACACCTGAGGGTCCCAGTGCTCAATGGCATGGACCTAATTAGATCTCGACCTGCTCTCCGAAATGTTTAGTTCACCACATGGAATGTTCTTCCCGAGGAGAACTGCCTTCCTGAGTGGGAAGACAGGCCGGCGTGGTGGCCAACGCCTTTGGGGCACACGGGTTGCACATGTGGGGGTGCCTGAGCATTTCAGCAGGGGCAGCTCTTTCCCTGAGACAAAACTCGCCGGGTTACCTTTGCAAACCGACACCAGCTTCGAGTTTTTGCCACCGTGGCTCCAAATCCAAGCTCCTCTTGTCCACGGAAAAAATGGGGGTGCTCCCATGGGTCAAACGACTTTCTGGTTGGAAACATGGAAAACAAGGTGACTGCAGGGGCCTGAAACCTTACGAGATTTGAGTGTGGCGGGGTTTGAGATATGCGGAAGCCAAATAATGGTGAAAGACTTGTACTGTGCTAACAATTTGCCAACGATTGTTCTCACATTTTATACTGAGGTATAGTTTGCATATAAGTACACAAATTAAAGCCCTCAGCTCAAGAAATGTGAATACACAACGCACACACACACACACACACACACACACTCACTCACTCACACTCACTCACTCACACATGTCATCAGCACCCAGACCAAGATAGAGAACAGGTTTCCTGTGACTACCCCCAGGCAGCACTCACCCCGCCCCAGAGGGAACCACTATTCTGACTTCTATAACCACTGATTAGTTTGCCTATTTTTGAACTTCGAATAAATGTTTCAGGTATCAGTCGTTCTAAAAAATGATTGGTATGCAGTATTTCATTATATAAATACACGACAATTTGCTTATCTATTCTTCTGTCAACTGATATGTTTAGGTTGTTTACCTATTCTTTTATCAGTTGATATGTTTAGGTTGTTTCCAGCCATTGGCTATTAAGAACAAATTGATTTAATGATTAAAAGATCATCTACACAGGACATGGCAACTATTTATAAGGCCTCTTAGTACCAGTTATATTCCCAAGGACATAATATTATGAGAGCTGCAAAGGCCCTGTCTGAGCACACAGGTGGGGTCTGAAACCCCTCCCAGAATCTACTTGCTAGGTGGTGAGACCTGGGACCAGGGATCGGGGGAGGTGCGTGTCTGTCAGGTGAGAGGGGCACTTTGATTGATCAATTGATTGGTTACACAAAGTGGTCACCATTTGTAGAGCTATGTGTTCCCAGAGTTGTATCCATTTGTGGGTAGGCTTTTTCCAATAAGCCCCATGGTCTAGCAGTGGCCCTGATTTAAGGTAGGCGTGAAAATGAACGCTTGGGCTGGAAAATAGACTAGGTTTGTGAGAGAGGAAACAGGCTGATCTCTTAGGAAGTTATTGCAATGATCAGAGCAAGAGGCAGCAGCTGCTTGAACCAGGTTGGTAGAAATGACCAAAATGATGGATTTGAAGGGATCCACAGGATTGTCAGTGAATGTGGGATGGGTGAGACCAGGGTCAAGGGTGACCTCAGAGTGAGTCATGTTTGGGGCCTGAAGGACTGTTACAGGGAAGATCCCATCTACTGAGATGGGTGGAAGGTGTTCTGGGCGGGGCATTGAGTTCCGTTTGGGGTGGACTGAGTTTGAGATACCTGATTAGACATCCAAGTGATGCTGAGAAGGCAGCGGATAGATGAGTCTTGCTCTGGTTGGGAGAGCAAGTGTGGGAGCCAACAGTGTAGAAAGTAGTTACAGCCACAAAATTGCATGTGAGCCCCAGCGGAGTGGCTCGGTGGTTGAGCATCGACCTATGAACCAGGAGGTTGTGGTTCGATTCCCGGTCAAGGCACATGCCTGGGTTGCAGGCTTGAGCCCCATAGCAGGCGGTTAGGGGGCAGCTGATCGATGATTCTCTCTCATCATTGATGTTTCTCTCTCTCCCTTCATCTCTGAAATCAATAAAAAATATATATATTTTTAAAATTGCATGTGCACTCTGGGGAGAGAGTTGTAGAAGCCAAGAATGGCCCAAGGTTGAGCCCTGGAGGACGCCACCAGTTCAGCCAGGCAGAGAGGAGACGGCAGCTGGCGAAGGACAGGACTAAGACGAGTGTTGGAACCGAGTGACTGTGTGTGTTTGACTGCGGGTTTTTGTGTGTCCTTGTGTTCTCACGGGGGCTGGGCCTGCTCTCCGTCCTTCTCCTACAAAGACGTCACTGGACTCTGCTTTTCCCTCCAATGCAAGCGGCTGGGACGGGGAGCTTACCTTGGCGGATTGAAGATGTCTCTGTCGTTGCCACCTTCGAAGTGGTCTCCTGGCTCTTTTCCATCCTCATAGTGGCGGGGCGTCTGGCAGATGTGTCTTACGCTGCGGGAGGAAAATGCTGACCCTGGCATTAGTATGGAGTCAGTGTGGCCAAGGGGGTCACAGCCCCCCTCCGTCTCTCACCAGTTCTGTGGTTTCAAGGAAACCCACTCACTGCTCTCCGTTTCCCTTTCCTCCCCTGTGAAGCGCGAGTACACTGCCTATCTCCATACATGTGGCGGGACAGAGGTTTCTGGATTTTTCATAATTACAAGCAGGATAAAACTCCTCTATTAAAAGGAAAAGACTGCGTGATTGGGTCAGAAGGCGAAATCCAACTACATGCACTTCTTACAAGCGATGCATCGGAAACAGAGGCCCAGAAAGTTAAACCTGCAGGATGAGCCGAGGTGCAGCAGGCCAGGGAGGTGGCTGCGTCCAGGGAAGGGTAGCACCAGGGGTCCTCGCGATGGAACTTCTGCAAATTAACTGTGACCGCGACCACACAAACCTACACGTGTGAAAAGTTGCATAGGACGACATGCACACACACACACATGAGCGGAGGAGGCTGATGAGAGCTGAGTAAGCGGTTTGTATCCACATCCACTTCTTAGTTGTGATATTAGAGTTCGTGAGCCATTGTTGGTGGGGAAATTGGGTAAAGGGAGGTATGTAGGATCTCTTTGTGTGGGAATCTATACTTTTCTCAAAAAAAATTTTTTAAATATATATATTTTTTATTTCAAGAAAGGAAGGAAGAGGGAGAAAAAGATAGAAACATCCTGCACACCCCCGCCCCCCCATCTGTGCATCCCCACCCCCTCATTGTTGGCACTCGCTCCTGGGGCTGGTGGAGAAGTGGCATCTTCTAGATACGCCCCCTCTCTCATGACCTCCTCCTTCCCCCTCTCCTCCTCCTGTTCTATTTCTAAAAAACCTTAGAAAATAAATCCTCCTTTACCTATTTTGACGTCACAAAAGCCCTTATAACCCGTTTTCCTCTAATTACTTCAATGAATGCAGATTTACAATAGACATTCCAGAAACAAAGAATAGGATTCATCGGTACTCTCACTACACGGAAATAAACACTGCCAGCCTTTGATTTTACCAGCAAAACCAATTTAGACTCCTGCTGCTCCTACAGTTTTGCATGAATTGTTGTCACTTAACATTATATTCTAGTGGCTCCTCATATTACTAGAGCGTTTCAGACAGCTTAGAGGCCCTGTAACATCTCACCCTGTGGAGGTATCCTTTCGTATTTAATTGCTCCCCTGCTGTGGAATGGCTGGGTTGTTTGCAGTTCCAGTTTTTCTTTTATGAATAACTTTTGGTCCTTATAGAAATGTTGGTCACATGTTTGGTTATTTCTATGGGATAGTCTTTGAGATTTAATGCATCAAAGATTTTTTCAAAAAAGAGAAAAAAGGTTTTCTCCTCTCTGGTTTATAAAGCTGGGTTGGGAGGATTTGGCTCCAGGGTGCCCATGGCTCATAACAGTGATGGTGAACCTTTTGAGCTCGGTGTGTCAGCATTTTGAAAAGCCCTAACTTAACTCTGGTGCCGGGTCACATATAGAATTTTTTTGATATTTGCAACCATAGTAAAACAAAGATTTATATTTTTGATATGTATTTTAAATATTTAAATGCCATTTAACAAAGAGAAGTCAACCAAAAAAATGAGTTCGCGTGTCACCTCTGACACGTGTGTCATAGGTTCGCCATCACTGGCCTATAATATAAGCCAGACATGTACCTAACTACTTTAGGCACCTTTAACCCTCTTTGACATTATGAAATAGATGGTAATGTTATTCCCATTTTACAGATGAGGAAACTGAGGCACAAGGAGACCGATGTCACGCAGTTGGTAAGTGGGAGAGCCCAGCGTGATTCCAGTTGATCTCAATCAGGGGTGAGTTTTCTCCCCAGGGGACATTAGTAATGTCTGTAGACATTGGTGGGGGGCGGGGGTGCTACTGGCATCTGATGCTGCAATGCTCAGGGCGACCCCAAAGAGAATGACCCCGTCCAGGATGTCAGTGGTGCTGAGGCTGAGAAACTGCCCTGGAGCCCTTCTCCACCAGCACCTGTGACCCCCAGTTCTCATGTTAGTCCTCCCGGGCGGGCGAAGGGCAGAGGGAACAGCAGGGAGCTCTTTGGTCCGAACAGGTCCGCTCTCTACTGACCTCCCCGGATGTGAGAGGAGACAATGGGGTTGATGGCTGGATAAGCCATGTTTCTTTTCCTTTTTTAAATATATTTTTATTGATTAAAGAGAGGAAGGGAGAGGGAGAGAGAGATAGAAGCACCAATAATGAGAGCGAATCATTGATCTGGCTGCCTCCATCCACACTGGGGATCCAGACCACACCCTGGCATGTGCCCTGGCCGGGAATTGAACTGGTTCATAGGTTGATGCTCAACCACGGAGCCACGCCAGCCCGGCCGAGGGCTCAAATTTCTGACGATCTCTGTGTGCCTGCTTAGGGAGCCTTTAGTCCTCCCTGCACACCAACTCTCCCGGCATCCACTCTAAGCAAAGGTGGGTGACTCTGAAAACACAGCTGGGGCCAGGCCCCTCCTTCCCACAACTTTCCCAAAGGAACCTACAATCCAGGAGACACTGGGGTTGGCTTTGCACTTTCCACAATTCAACCAGCCTCTTTTCTCCTGCAAAGAGGGCACCCCTAAACCGCGCCTGCAGGGAGCTCCCAGGGAAACGCCTGTGTCTAGAGGTCTCCCACACTGTGGGAGCCTGGACCTGTCCCTTTAGGACCCTGGGGTCACCGGCCCATTGGGGGGGAGGGGACTCCATTTGGTGGGTCATATCACACCTTAATCAGGTTTTCCTTTAAAGCAGCGGTTGCCAACCTTCAGGACCCCATGGACCACCGGTGGTGACCACTGCTGTAAACTTCACATGGCCCGTGAGGGAGAGATTCCCGTCCTGATTTATCAAAGAATTCGCACTGCAGTCCTGGCCGGGTGGCTCAGTTAGAGTATTGTCCATATGCCCAGGTTGCGGGTTCGATCCCCAGTCAGGCACACACAAGAATCAACCAAAGAATGCACAAATAAATGGAACAACAAATCGATGTTTCTCTCTCTCTCTCTGTCTCTTCTGTCTCTCTCTCTCTATCACTATCACTATCTCTATCTCTATATCTCTCCACCTTCCTCTCTCTCTCAAATTCAATTTAAAAAAAAAAGAAAAAGAATTTCAACTTCAGACCCTTCCCAGGCTCACAAAGTTCACAACTGGAGGGACAGAACTTGAACCCTAGCAGCGCTGACCACAGCTTCTGGTCTGTAGCCGCCCCCTCAGGCCCCCAAGGAGCCCTCCCCCCTCTGCCTTTGCCTCACCTGCTCTCCCTGCAGCCTGTCCTCTGTCCTCGCCTCTCTGGGGCCTCAGGTCCACAGGGCGCTGTGAGCGTCCGTCCGTCCAGGCTGGCAGGACAATGAAGACAGTGCCCAGTGTGCAGCGGGTTTTGCTAACCAGGCACAGGCGCAAGCGCCGCCCCCACCCCAGCCCCCACCACCTGCCCGCAGCTGCTGAGCTCTGTCCTGAGCAAGAATTGTGAAAAGTTCAGGGTTGAATATTCCAGGTGCAGAGAAGCCAGTGGTTCTGAGCACCTCTTCTGGGAAACGGGGGCTTTCCGAGAAGCGAGAATCGGCTTTCGCTTTTGCTTTCCTGCTTGCTTCTTTCTCTAGTAGATGTGAGGGGAGGGGGCCGTGCAGCCAAAGGCAGAGGCTGTGAGGGTGCAAGGACTCTGAAGTGAGCCCGTTCCTCAACCGCCTCGGCCTCGGTTCCCCATCTGTGAAATGGATCTGAAAACAGCTCCTGTGGCACAGAGCCACGGTGAGGAGCCACGAGCAGGCCACACAGAGCCCGCGTGGAATGAGCACCCACAGGGGCAGCTGTAAGGATTGTTGTCACATCTCCGTCCCACGGTGGGAGGGGGGGACAGGAGAGCTCCCACACCTTACCCGAGATGTGAAGTGCAAAATGCTCAGAAAACAACTGCTTTCCTGGCTCATGGGGGGGTGAAATTTGACCTGAATTGGTGCGTTTATAGTTTTCTCGCACCCCACTTAGTTCGAATATTCATTGTGTCACTGCGAAAATATTGACTGTGCTGGACTAGGGAGGGCTGCTGAGACGTTACCCAATGTATTGTTAGGGTCACGGAAGGAGGAACGCACTAGGCCAAAGTGGTGAGGGTTATAAATGTATCAGGTCATCTGGATACCAGATGGGCTGGGCACCCAAATAGTGCCAGCACCCAAAGACAGGGAGTCAGAGGCTTTTAAAGGGCTCTAGGTGGGCTTTCTCTGGGCGGAGAATTCTCTGTGCGGGTCTGGGTGCTGGTGAAATCCGGAGGGGAGAGATAATGGTCTTAGCCAGTGGAATGTCCGTGATGAAGTGGCCTAAAGGGCAGTTCCCAGGGGAGGGGGGATTGATTCAATTATATGATCAGACCTAACATTATAATATCTGCACCCCAAAGTGAGAAACTCCAAAACACAACTGGCCCCCGTGATTTAAGATCTAGGACAGTGGTCCCTGACTCTCCCATTTTGCAGATGAGGAAACTGAGGCACAAGGAGACCGATGTCACACAGTATCTCAATCAGGGGTGAGTTTTCTCCCCACGGGATATTGGTAATGTCTGTAGATATTGGTGGGGGGTGGGGTGCTACTGGCATCTGATGCTGCAATGCTCAGGGCGGCCCCAAAGAGAATGACCCCGTCCAGGACGTCAGTGGTGCTGAGGCTGAGAAACTGCCCTGGAGCCCTTCTCCACCAGCACCTGTGACCCCCAGTTCTCAGGTTAGTCCTCCCGGGCGGGCGAAGGGCAGAGGGGACAGCAGGGAGCTGTTTGGTCCAAACAGGTCCGCTCCCTACTGACCTCCCCGGATGTGAGAGGAGACAATGGGGTTGATGGCTGGATAAGCCATGTTTCTTTTCCTTTTTAAATATATTTTTATTGATTTCAGAGAGGAAGGGAGAGGGAGAGAGAGATAGAAACACCAATGATGAGAGCGAATCATTGATCTGGCTCCTCCTGCACGCCCCACACTGGGGATCCAGCCCACAGCCCTGGCATGTGCCCTGGCCAGGAATTGAACTGGTTCATAGGTTGATGCTCAACCATTGAGCCACGCCAGCCCGGCCGAGGGCTCAAATTTCTGACGGTCTCTGTGTGCCTGCTTAGGGACCCTTTAGTCCTCCCTGCACACCAACTCCCCCGGCATCCACTCTGAGCAAAGGTGGGTGACTCTGAAAACACAGCTGGGGCCAGGCCCCTCCTTCCCACAACTATCCCAAAGGAACCTACAATCCAGGAGACGCTGGGGTTGGCTTTGCACTTTCCACAACTCATCCAGCCTCTTTTCTCCTGCAAAGAGGGCACCCCTAAACCGCGCCTGCAGGTAGCTCCCAGGGAAACGCCTGTGTCTAGACGTCTCCCACACTCTGGGAGCCTGGACCTGTCCCTTTAGGACCCTGGGGTCACCGGCCCATTGGGGGGGGGGAGACTCCATTTGGTGGGTCATATCACCCCTTAATCAGGTTTTCCTTTAAACCAGTGGTTGCCAACCTTCAGGACCCCATGGACCACCGGTGGTGACCACTGCTGTAAACTTCACATGGCCCGTGAGGGAGAGGTTCATGTCCTGATTTATCAAAGAATTCGCACTGCAGTCCTGGCCGGGTGGCCCAGTTAGAGCATTGTCCATATGCCCAGGTTGCGGGTTCGATCCCCAGTCAGGCACACACAAGAATCAACCAAAGAATGCACAAATAAATAGAACAATAAATCAATGTTTCTCTCTCTCTCTCTCCCAACCTCTCTCTCTAAAATTTAATTTAAAAAAAAAGAAAAAGAATTTCAACTTCAGACCCTTCCCAGGCTCACAAAGGTCATAACTGGCAGGACAGGGAGGGACTTGAACCCTAGCAGCGCTGACCACAGCTCCTGGCCTGTAGCCGACCCCTCAGGCGCCCACGCAGCCCTCCCCCCTCTGCCTGTGCCTCACCTGCTCTCACTGCAGCCTGTCCTCTGTCCTCGCCTCTCTGGGGCCTCAGGTCCACAGGGCCCTGTGAGCCTCCGTCCAGCCTGGGAGAACAATGAAGGAAGTGCCCAGTGTCCAGCGGGTTTTGCTAACCAGGCACAGGCGCAAGCGCTGCCCCCACCCCAGCCCCCACCACCTGCCCGCAGCTGCTGAGCTCTGTCCTGAGCAAGAATTGTGAAAAGTTCAGGGTTGAATATTCCAGGTGCAGAGAAGCCAGTGGTTCTGAGCACCTCTTCTGGGAAACGGGGGCTTTCCGAGAAGCGAGAAGCGGCTTTTGCTTTTGCTTTCCTGCTTGCTTCTTTCTCTAGGAGATGTGAGGGGAGGGGGCCGTGCAGCCAGAGGCAGAGGCTGTGAGGGTGCAAGGATTCTGAAGTGAGCCCGTTCCTCAACCGCCTTGGCCTCGGTTCCCCATCTGTGAAATGGGTCTGAAAACAGCTCCTGTGGCACAGAGCCACGGTGAGGAGCCACGAGCAGGCCACACAGAGCCCGCGTGGAATGAGCACCCACAGGGGCAGCTGTAAGGCTTGTTGTCACATCTCTGTCCCTCGGTGGGAGGGGGGGACAAAGAGCTCCCACACCTTACCTGAGGTGTGAAGTGAAAAATGCTCAGAAAACAACTGCTTTCCTGGCTCATGGGGAGGGTGAAATTTGACCTGAATTAGTGCAAGTTTATAGTTTTCTCGCACCCCACTTAGTTCGAATATTCATTGTGTCACTGCGAAAATATTGACTGTGCTGGACTAGGGAGGGCTGCTGAGACGTTACCCAATGTATTGTTAGGGTCACGGAAGGAGGAACGCACTAGGCCAAAGTGGTGAGGGTTATAAATGTATCAGGTCATCTGGATACCAGATGGGCTGGGCACCCAAATAGTGCCAGCACCCAAAGACAGGGAGTCAGAGGCTTTTAAAGGGCTCTAGGTGGGCTTTCTCTGGGCGGAGAATTCTCTGTGCGGGTCTGGGTGCTGGTGAAATCCGGAGGGGAGAGATAATGGTCTTAGCCAGTGGAATGTCCGTGATGAAGTGGCCTAAAGGGCAGTTCCCAGGGGAGGGGGGATTGATTCAATTATATGATCAGACCTAACATTATAATATCTGCACCCCAAAGTGAGAAACTCCAAAACACAACTGGCCCCCGTGATTTAAGATCTAGGACAGTGGTCCCCGACTCTCCCATTTTGCAGATGAGGAAACTGAGGCACAAGGAGACCAATGTCACTCAGTTGGTAAGTGGGAGAGCCCAGCGTGATTCCAGTTGATCTCAATCAGGGGTGAGTTTTCTCCCCAGGGGACATTGGTAATGTCTGTAGACATTGGTGGAGGGCGGGGGTGCTACTGGCATCTGAGGCTGCAATGCTCAGGGCGGCCCCACAAGAGAATGACCCCGTCCAGGACGTCAGTGGTGCTGAGGCTGAGAAACTGCCCTGGAGCCCTTCTCCACCAGCACCTGTGACCCCCAGTTCTCAGGTTAGTCCTCCCGGGCGGGCGAAGGGCAGAGGGGACAGCAGGGAGCTGTTTGGTCCAAACAGGTCCGCACCCTACTGACCTCCCCGGATGTGAGAGGAGACAATGGGGTTGATGGCTGGGTAAGCCATGTTTCTTTTCCTTTTTTAAATATATTTTTATTGATTTCAGAGAGGAAGGGAGAGGGAGAGAGAGATAGAAACACCAATGATGAGACAGAATCATTGATCTGGCTCCTCCTGCACGCCCCACACTGGGGATCCAGCCCACAGCCCTGGCATGTGCCCTGGCCAGGAATTGAACTGGTTCATAGGTTGATGCTCAACCATTGAGCCACGCCAGCCCGGCCGAGGGCTCAAATTTCTGACGGTGTTTGTGTGCCTGCTTAGGGAGCCTTTAGTCCTCCCTGCACACCAACTCCCCGGGCATCCACTCTAAGCAAAGGTGGGTGACTCTGAAAACACAGCTGGGGCCAGGCCCCTCCTTTCCACAACTATCCCAAAGGAACCTACAATCCAGGAGACGCTGGGGTTGGCTTTGCACTTTCCACAACTCACCCAGCCTCTTTTCTCCTGCAAAGAGGGCACCCCTAAACCGCGCCTGCAGGGAGCTCCCGGGGAAACGCCTGTGTCTAGAGGTCTCCCACACTCTGGGAGGCTGGACCTGTCCCTTAGGACCCTGGGGTCACCGGCCCATTGGGGGGGGGGGGACTCCATTTGGTGGGTCATATCACACCTTTAATCAGGTTTTCCTTTAAACCAGCGGTCGCCAACCTTCAGGACCTCATGGACCACCGGTGGTGACCACTGCTTTAAACTTCACATGGCCCGTGAGGGAGAGGTTCATGTCCTGATTTATCAAAGAATTCGCACTGCAGTCCTGGCCGGGTGGCTCAGTCAGAGCATTGTCCATATGCCCAGGTTGTGGGTTCGATCCCCAGTCAGGCACACACAAGAATCAACCAAAGAATGCACAAATAAATAGAACAATAAATCAATGTTTCTCTCTCTCTCTCTCTCCCAACCTCTCTCTCTAAAATTTAATTTAAAAAAAAGAAAAAGAATTTCAACTTCAGACCCTTCCCAGGCTCACAAAGGTCATAACTGGCAGGACAGGGAGGGACTTGAACCCTAGCAGCGGTGACCACAGCTCCTGGCCTGTAGCTGACCCCTCAGGCGCCCTAGCAGCCCTCCCCCCTCTGCCTGTGCCTCACCTGCTCTCACTGCAGCCTGTCCTCTGTCCTCGCCTCTCTGGGGCCTCAGGTCCACAGGGCGCTGTGAACGTCCGTCCGTCCAGCCTGAGAGAACAATGAAGGAAGTGCCCAGTGTGCAGCGGGTTTTGCTAACCAGGCACAGGAGCAAGCGCCGACCCCACCCCAGCCCCCACCACCTGCCCGCAGCTGCTGAGCTCTGTCCTGAGCAAGAATTGTGAAAAGTTCAGGGTTGAAAATTCCAGGTGCAGAGAAGCCAGTGGTTCTGAGCACCTCTTCTGGGAAACGGGGGCTTTCCGAGAAGCGAGAAGCGACTTTCGCTTTCGCTTTCCTGCTTGCTTCTTTCTCTAGTAGATGTGAGGGGAGGGGGCCGTGCAGCCAAAGGCAGAGGGCTGTGAGGGTGCAAGGACTCTGAATGAGCCCGTTCCTCAACCGCCTTGGCCTCGGTTCCCCATCTGTGAAATGGGTCTGAAAACAGCTCCTGTGGCACAGAGCCACGGTGAGGAGCCACGAGCAGGCCACACAGAGCCCGCGTGGAATGAGCACCCACAGGGGCAGCTGTAAGGCTTGTTGTCACATCTCTGTCCCTCGGTGGGAGGGGGGGACAAAGAGCTCCCACACCTTACCTGAGGTGTGAAGTGAAAAATGCTCAGAAAACAACTGCTTTCCTGGCTCATGGGGGGGTGAAATTTGACCTGAATTGGTGCGTTTATAGTTTTCTCGCACCCCACTTAGTTCGAATATTCATTGTGTCACTGCGAAAATATTGACTGTGCTGGACTAGGGAGGGCTGCTGAGACGTTACCCAATGTATTGTTAGGGTCACGGAAGGAGGAACGCACTAGGCCAAAGTGGTGAGGGATTATAAATGTATCAGGTCATCGGGATACCAGATGGGCTGGGCACCCAAATAGTGCCAGCACCCAAAGACGGGGAGTCAGAGGCTTTTAAAGGGCTCTAGGCGGGCTTTTTCTGGGCGGAGAATTCTCTGTGCGGGTCTGGGTTCTGGTGAAATCCGGAGGGGAGAGATAATGGTCTTAGCCAGTGGAATGTCCGTGATGAAGTGGCCTAAAGGGCAGTTCCCAGGGGAGGGGGGATTGATTCAATTATTTGATCAGACCTAACACTATAATATCT